ATTGGATAAAAATCCTATTTTAAGCTATATATATCATTATTGTGATGGGGGGCCCTGCAATAAGTCATAGCCCCGGGGCTCTTATTAAGACCTTAGTGAGGTCTTAATGCGGCCCTGCATAGGCGTAATGGTTTTTCTACTGTACAGGCCGTATATTCTATTGTCCTACACCAACCCTACCCCTAAACCTACCCCTCACAGGAAACTTTTTGCATTTTTAGATTTTCAAAAAACCTAATTCTGTATGATTTATAAGCTTTTGTACCCGTGGGGACCACAATTTAGGTCCCCACCGTGACACGAGTCCCCATGAGTCTGTGTGTAGTCAGGTTTAAGTCCCCACCAGGACATATAAACCAGTACACACACACACACATACACAGAGTCCCAGATCACACTCTGATGCATGCATACTGCACACACTGAGGATGCCAGCCAAACCAGTATGCATGCATCAGTACTAGGCGCGTTTCCATTACCCTTCAAATTGCGCAAATTGAAATTGCCAATTGAAAATACGCCTAATGCAAACGCGTCAATTTCGCAAAAACGCCCATATATCGCAAAAAAGTTTTTACGCTCGCATGAGGTGGTTTTTCAGGCAATGCGAAAAAGGAATACTTCAAGTGGAAACGGCTTTTTCGCATTTACAGGTCACATGGCGTATGTAAAAAGTCATATGATCATTATTCAATGTACTATAACCTCCAAGAAACACTTCATAACTGGCCGCGCTCCAGTATAAGGGGCTTTCCCTACTATTAATGCTTAGACAATTTACACTGCACACGTCTGCGGTGCAGTGTGGCTCTGATACGGCCACTGAAGCTGATTGCGGCCACTCAATGCTTGTGTTTATGTTTTTATACAGGCTATGGTTTATTCCAGCCATGCCACGCACGTTTCTGAAGCGGCTCTCTTTGCTGCTTCTGTAAAGATATACGCATAAGCCTCCTTTGAGTAAATATAGCCAAAATCCCACCAAAATCCGTTGCCATGACTTATCGCGAGACAAAAGGTTACGTTTAAGTCTCATAACATTGGTTAATGGAAACGCCGTCATTTCGCAATACTTTTTTTATCGACATTTATAAAATATCGCCAAAGTTTTGCGCAAATCTGTAATGGAAACGCGCCTACTGTGGGCAGTATACACGGAACATCTTACAATTGTTTTAATATATATATATATATATAAACTTTTAAGCGTTAAAAAGTTGGTGGCCGCGACGTATTTCAGTGTTTACAGTTATTCTGAAGCACGATTTCATGTGATTTGCGCCAAACCGCATCAAACTCGCTCTATTTGCGCACGTTCGTTCCGCGCTGGTCAACACCGCCACCTGCCGGGCGCTTACTGAACTGCAGCTATGAGCTTTCGTTTCAGCAAATATATCTAATAAGTGCAAATTGAGCTACCTAAATTATTGAAATAGGGGCTCTTTGCAGCCATCCTGGAGCTAGGAAGCCCGCTAAATGATGGGCAAACACATCATCAAAGACACGCATTTAACACCAAACAGAGAAAAGAGGCAGGTAAATCACAAAGAGCCCCTTCGCTTCAACTAGACCCCTTTAAAGCCCTTTAGATTTTCATTAGAACATTATTTTGCATGTTTTGATGTTATGTAGATGTTTTCCTTGTGACTGCATTCCACAGTGAATGCTAGGTGATTTCAGGACACACTATGTCTGTCATAAGTTAACTTTAAAAACCTTTTAATCAAAGACCTATGGTTTAAATTAATACAAACTCTATTTATTAGATTCTTTGTGTTTATTAGTTTTAAGTTGTAGGCTATCCACCTTCTTTTGTAACGCAGAAGCAAACTATTTTCTTTGCGCGTGCGAGACTTTCGACTCATTAACCGCTGGAAGTAAATAGCTATAAGCATCAAAGTGCAGTAAAGGGTAAAACTGTTTGCGCTGAAAACCGGCGTGTTTATGATAATGATAATAGATTCAAATAATATGATCATAAAATGCTAGTTTACAATATAAAGTAGCTGTTGTACAGGAAAAGTAACTGGAGCACCGGAAGCCTTGCACAGTCAGTACAAATGGCAGACAAATAAATAAATAAAGACGCATAACATCTTTAGAAAGTTAAATATTTGTGTGTTGACAAACAGCTCCAAGAGAGCGATTGGAGCAGCTCTCCGTCAGCTGGTGCGCGCGGCGGGTGATTTACGCGTCTCCCTCGTGCGGGACGGTGACGCGGGGCCCGGGGCCCGGGGGTCACACCGCACGTCACATGAGCGCGTCAGAGTCAGAAGTGATTGGGAAAGACGGTATACAGGAGAGAGTCCCCTGATTCGGTGAGTTTCTAGCGGTTATATTATATATGCATGGATAGTTAATAATTAACAATATAATTATATAATGTAATGTTTGTGTTTACATTGTAAAAAAAGTATTTTGAAAGCATTTTTCTAGTATTACTACCACCAGTAGTAGGCTATAGTATTACTGCACCAGGGTATTGCTACAGTATTTTCTTTGTAAGGGATTGTGTCCACAATACAATTGTTTAACAGTACCATAGTACAGTAATGGTAATACTATGGTACTTTCCTATACAATATGGTAATGAGCTGTTACTATATTTATGGTACATGTAAAAAAAAAATCCTTGGTAAATAATGGTAAGTTTTTATACATTTTCTGTTAGTGCAGTTAGTGTGTTTTTGTTAGTTAATTCATAATTTTTTTTTAGCAACATATTCTTATGTTTCAAAAGCAGTTATGATTGAGTTCCTCTATTTTGTTAATTTTTGTGAAATAATAAGCAGTAAGGTTTGACATCAAGAATAAAAATGAGAAATTATTTTATACACTGTAAAAAATAAATAAATTACAAAGTTGTAAATAAAACAGATTATTAGAGTAGCCTATGCTTTGCAAGAAAATACTATTTCAGTTTTAAACTTAATTTCATGTTTAATTCAAAATGTTACTAGCCAAAATTGTGACATTTTAGCAGTTTCTCAGTAAAAATTGTTTCAAAAAAAGTGAATAATTTTTTTTTCAGTGTAAAAAACGCTATTTGTTTACTTTCAAACATACACACACAAACAGAGTAATGCACATGTGCGCGCAGTGCCACAGACAGTCAAACGTCAGTCACGTCTAACAGGAATGCAGGAGCTGATTCACAGGACTCTGTGTTCTGTGTGTGTGAGACTGAAAGAGAAGCAGCTGTTTGTAGGTGGATCCTGTGTCATGAAACGTTTGGTACCCGATGAGCGTTTAGTCACGTTTGGAGTGGAAACGAGCTCTCTTTAAAAATGCTGGCACACCAGATTCAGCCCGTTTCCACATGCAATGCACTTCAGTGAAAGAGGGAATGATTTTGAAGCTGAAATTAGACCGCAGAAGGAAACGGAGAGCTGTTGAGTTTCTGCTGTGTGTCTCACACCTGCTTCTGTGGCACAGAGCTTTCAGCCCTGTCTATTTCCACTGGGGCAGGTGCTGGAGGGACAGGCCGGTTTGGTTGGGTATATTTAGACCCCCCTATTTCTGCCCTGCAACTCCCGTAACTGCCATCCCATCAGCTAGAATAAATATCAGCTGTCAGTGTTGGAGCAGACAGGAAAAAAAACAAAAAAACACTGCTGACATGAATATGTATATGCAATGGAAGTACAATGTGATTTTAATGAGATTTGAGATATTTGCTGAAAATGGTCTCCAGGTTTGCTCTGTTTAAACTTAAAAGATTCAAGTCTGTTTTGACAGATTGTTCATATTGGAGCAAGTGCAAACACACATCTACTGGAGTTTACTCTTGTGTTCCACCACTGTTTGTTCTTGAGTCTTAGTAAATATCAGTGGTGAGAGTCCAAACTGCGAAATATCCCCCAGCACTGAAAGCATTGCTGATATACCTGTGAAACCTCTTTGCATGACAGTTTATTTCAGTCAAAACTGATTTAATCTATTATTTACGTACAGTAGTTGCAGTATTCAGACTTATGTGAATTCATATGGTGGTCTCGTTTAACTCTGTGTTTCAGTGACTGTATGAAGGAGTTCACAACATGTACACAACAGTGTGAATGCACTTACTGGCATTTATCAGATTCTGCTTTCTCTCCCAAGGCTGGTCAACATGACATTATCAGTCTCTTGATGGGTCTCAGGAACTCGATCAGATGAGATCTTGAGGTATGATAATGCCTCCAGATTTGAGTGGATTTGTTTGGGTTTGTCTCCGCCGTGTGGTTGTTTTAATTAGTGTGCTTCAGTGCCCAGAGTTTCAGCACCTGTGAGCAGGCCGTCCTGCCTTTGTCTGTATGGATGGGAATGGCAGCATCAGCTGTTGGTGGGAAACATTTACACACATCATGGAAACACTTTGTGATCATTGTTATAACGCTCCTGCTCTTAAGTACTCCTTCAGGTAAGAATCCCTTTGTAATGAAGTATTACTTTGTGTTGCTAGTTTGGAGTTATGATCACTGTGGGGCATCTGTTAGAATGCACAAGTCTTTGTTCTCCATTTACATTCTCTTTATTCCAGCTTGTTTCAAGTTACAGGTGGATAGAGATGTGGTTCTACATAAAGAAATAACAGATTTCTTAGTACAATCACAACAAGCATTAATCAGTATTAAAATTACAGTAAATGATTACTAAATTGCCTTGTAACAATAACTATTTCTAATTGGCGATAATAGGCACAAAGGAAACTATTCGAAAACAATGTCTAAAGAGCACGATGTATTTCACACCATATAAGTCACTTAAACAGTAACAGTAACAACAATAGTTACTAATCCTTCTTATAAATCAAAACAACAAAGTTACATTTATTCAGCAACAGTTAAATGCAAGATACAAATGTCCACGTTAAGTGTATGCATCGCAACTGACAAAGTGCTGAGTCATTCATTCATCCGACGGCAAATAGTAAACGGCTGAATTCTGGTAAAGTTGCTCATCAAATGTATGCATATAACATGTAAATATGATAATACTTACAATTCTTTCTGCACGCACAAATCCACTAATGCAAGATTAACTGCATAAATAACAATAAAGAGCTGATTTCCTTCTGCCCGTCGCTCCACTGCAAACTAAAACAACTTCCGCCTAAGAACGCAATAATACTTCAGGCAGTTATATGATAAGACAATATATTAGCGCCCCCTCCTGGTATGACCCACACTTTCCTTTGCAACACCCTTTTTAGCCTCACAAAAAAGTTCACTGATGGTATCACATGTGGTACTTTGAAATACACCATGGCAGTGTTATCATAGCATTATTTATATACTGTTATAGTATTTATTATTTTAAATTAGCTTTCATTTTAGTTTTAGTAATTTTTTATGTGCTTTTATAATTAATTTATAATATTTCAATGTAGCTTTTGTAATATTTATTAGGTTTTTAATATTTCAATTTAGATATAATTTCTTTTTATTTCAGTTTTAGATTTAGTAATTCATCTTAAATTAATTGGAAAGGCAACATTTCCAATTTTCATGTAAGTTTTTTTTAATTTAATCTAACTCTTATATTTTATTTCTGTTATATTTCAAATAATAACAACCATTTTAGTTAGAATAAAATAAAATTTTTTTACATGGCACTCCAACATATTTAAAAAAATATGATTGGATAAATCCCCACCCCCAAAAAAACATCATTGTGCCACGGTACTTTATTAAAACCTGTTAATTGTACATTCATTTGGAGTCTGACTCATATATCGAGTGAAATCTGGAAATTGAGCCCTTTTTTAGCATTGTACTGAAATTAGTTTTCTTTGCCTACAGTATGTGCACAGTGTCGAATCTTGAGATGTAATTCAGATTTTGTGGCTGCGAATCTGGAAATTGGCGTTATTGGAGGAGGGGGTAAAGAGGGTGCTAATGCCGGCTACTGCAGCGCCCTGCGGTCCTACGCTCTCTGCACCCAGCGGACGGCCCGAGCATGCCGTGGAGACCTGGCGTACCACTCTGCCGTGCAGGGTATCGAGGACCTGCTCATCCAACACCGTTGCCCCAAAACAGGCCCCACAGCTCAGCCGCGGCCCCTGCCCCTGCCCCAGGCCGCTCTCTCAGGGGACATATGCTTCTATGAGAAGGGGTTCATGCAGAGGGAGGGCCGGGCCCCAGAGTACCTGCACTGCGGGGTGTTTGGGGACCCTCATATCCGCACCTTTAATGAAGAGTTCCAGACGTGTGCTGTGCAGGGCGCCTGGCCTCTCATAGACAACCAGTACCTGTACATCCAGGCCACCAGCACGCGCACTAGAGGGAGCTCTTACACCACCGTACTCACAAAGGTGTGGAAAAAAATCACAATCACATGCAAACTTTTATCCTCTTGTATAACTCTCATTTAATGAATATAATAGTTACCCTAGAATTTATGAAGTAATAATATGTATTTGTATTGTAATAATAATTACTATTCCTCAGAAATGAGTTGTATGTAACTCATTTTATATTGAAATCTGGTGAGATTTTCTCTAGAGGGTGTACTTCATTGCTGCTAGTAAACTTATTTTGACCAAGAACTGTTCATGTAAAGGCTGAAATATATGGGAGCTTCTGCCACGGAATAAAAATAAAAACGTAATAGCAACTTTTTTATCTCACAATTTAAACTTTTTTTCGTACAATAGCTAGTTTATATCTCGTAATTTACTTTTTTTTTTCCTCAGAATTGCATGTTTACATTACTGAAAGTCTGAATTGCAACTTTATAACTAGATAGTAAAGTTTGTAGACAAACTTTAAGTTGGCTTGAAAAAGCTTAGCTAGAAAGTTTGAAGTAGTTTTCAGTTTTAACTAGTTTGAAGTTTAAAGTAGTTTTAAAGTTTAAAGTTTTAAAGTTTTGAAGACAATGCAATTTATCAGAAAAATAGATAGATAGATGTAGATAGATAGATAGGAAATATTAAATTAAATTAGAAATTTTAGATGTAGATTAATAGATTCTATGGTGTTTCTATGTGGTTTCTATGGTGTTGCTATGCGGTTGCTAAGGTACCCGGGGTGGTTGCTAGGGTGTTGCTATGCGGTTGCTAGGGTACCCAGGTTGGTTGCTTAGGTGTTGCTATGCGGTTGCTAGGGTACTTTTTCAAGCCAACAAAATTTTTTTTTTTTTCAGAATTCAGAGTTTACATTAATAACTCATAATTATGAGATATAAACCAGCAATTAAAGAAAAAGCCATAGAAAAACTTCCATGGAAATACACAACACAACTTTTGCCCCGATTTGCAGTCTGAATACCTCAACAGTAGTTGCCAAAACTCAGAGCCAGTCTGCAGATTTTGGGCAGTTAAGAGTTGACAGATTTCAGACTCAGATTGTTGAGCTTCAGATTATGGTTACATCCAGTCTGAGGACATCATACATCTATCATACATGTAGAACAAATGTAGTTTTCATTTACTTTTGAAGATGAAAAATCACTGGATTTTCCAGTTATGGCATCCAATCGTTCAAAGATACTCAGTTTGTTTGAGGCACTTAAAATGTAAATTCATTCTGCTTTATTTTAGTTGAGTTATTAGTTGAGTTTCTATGAAATAATCTGTACTTAGTAGTTTTGGAATATATTTAGATTTCAAATTACAAATTCAACACATTCAGATGATTTTTTTTAGTTCATTCTGTACAGCCAGTTGTGAACCGATGATGCTGCAAAAACATTTTAGCAATTGCTACGCAATGGTTTGAATATTAGTTTTCTTATGTATACTAGGCTTTTTGTGATACCAGCTATTTTAGAGGATCCTGTCACTAAACAGCATATAAAAACAAAGCTATTCGTCCCTTTATATGATGCTCAGACTTTCTCTTATTGTTTATTTCAGGGTTTCACAAACTGGGGCTCGTGAGTTGACGAAAAGCTAATAATTAAATCATAAAAAAAAATGTAATTACAATTAAATTATTTTTTAAAAACAATCAAAATAAAACACAAAAATATAATTTGAACTGTGAACCTTCTTGAACTGTGAATATGCAAATGTATTTTGAAATGATTAAAATACTAACTTAAAATCTCAGGAGGTACTTCCAGTAGATAATGTACTTAACAGGGGTTCAGCTGACAAAAAGTTTGGGAATCTCTGGTCTAAGTGGATCATTCTTAGCTAGAAGAAACTGACTTTATGCTGGATGTAAATAGCATACACTCTTTAAAATAAAGGTTCCAAAAGGGGGATTTTATGGCAATGAAAGAACCATTTTTGGTTCCCCAAAGAACCTTTCAGTGAACAGAACAGAACCATTTTCTCTTAGTGTGAAGAATATTTTAATAATCTAAAGAACCTTTTTCAGCTGTAGCTTTTTTTGCAGTGGAAAGGTTCCATAGATGTTAAAGGTTCTGAATTTGCCAATAAAGAAGGTTTATTTTTAAGTGTACGTGAGGGTATCTGTTAGAAGACTCCACATTTTCAGTTAGTCCTTCAAAATAAACACTTTTTATTGCCCTATAAAAGGCTCCAGCATTATTTTTTATCTACTTTAACACCCAATCAAAGTCTTTTATATCACTTCTTATATGATCCTTTCCAGCTGAGAGGGAGGTAACAGATTTGTCATCTTTCAGCCAGGCCCGGTTCTACAGGGGTGCTAAGCACCCTCAAACGAAATCAAAAGCACCCTCAGTTAAAGCTGTGTTAATGGGATTTTATTGCAGATTTGGCAAACTGCGTTTCTCGATAACGATTGATATTAGAGCTTAAGAGCGTTTTCTACGAGTCATTTTACGATCGTTCGTTATTGTTTCACGTGCGTTTCCCAAAAATGCACTTAACACAATCGCACGTAGGTAGCCCTGCTTTAAGTGCTACTTATAAGAGTCGCTATCCGTTTGTCAAGTGCTGAAATGTCACCTTATAGAATGGCTCGTAATTGTAGTACACGCTCCTTTATTGAAATGTTAACCTAATGCTGCGTTCCAGACAACTTGGATATAAAAAATATTATATTATATAATATTATATTATATTATTTATACGTATAATATTATACTTTACATAATAATATAGCCTACAATATACTTTATATAAAAATATATATTTTAGTATATAATATCCAGACGTTATTTCCGGGTCCAGTACATTGGTTTTCGTGCACGTCAGTAAGTCATTGACAGATTTCCCCCCCAGTCTTTTTAAAAATTTTTTTAGATAGGACAGTAGGTCGACAGGAAGCGAAGTGGGTGAGAGAGGCGGGGTGGGATCGGGAAAGGTCCACGAGCCGGGACTCGAACTCGGGACGCCCGAAGCGCAAAGGCGCTACATGTCGGCGCGCTGCCCACCAGGGCATTTTTTTTCTTTTTTTTGTTCAGTCATTTAATTTAGATGTGTATTTCTATTTCTTCTGCCCTTTTTTTAATTATTTAATTTATAAATTCATTAAAAAAAAGAGTACTAAAGTGTACAATAAAGCACAATCAAAACTTTATATTATAATCACATTGCACTTGATCAGTCGTACGATCGTTTTTACGAACTTCTTAGGCTTATGAAGCTTTTGGGAAACGCAGCCCAGTGCGTTATGGTTTGCGCTCTGGAGATCCGATTTCTATTTCAACGTGTTTTAGCAGCGTCGAGCAATGTAGCCAATCACAGACATATCTGTGGATTTCTTGAATCAGAGGCGTTTAAGTTAGAATCCACTCGCGCTCAAATCGCCTGAGTTTTTGTTCAGGTATTGTGTTCAGCATGAATGATCTCAGCGCGACGCAAGTGTTTTTTGCTAGTTTCAGCCCGACACAGTTGTCATTTTCACGTCCTGCGCCACGTTGTTTAAACCCATGGGCGTGCTGGTCTGAAAACGAGGTGTGTTCAGGCGCATTGCTGGCGCATTGCTATTTTGAGGCAACTGAAATAGACTGCGGCCATTGACCAACAAAAACCTGGTCTAAAGTCAATGGCACAGTAGTTTTTCTGTTTTTAAAAAGCGCGTTAGCTCATTATCAATGCTTATTACACACACAGGGACGCAACACAGCACACAAACATGCCAAATATTAACAATTAATGGATTGCAATGTAAAAGATTATTATTGTGTAGGCTACATAAATACAAAAATGCCTACATGTCATAATGGATTAACAATGGATTGCATTGCATGTATAAGAATTAGGCTACCTATTTGCTCGCGCAGGAGCAGCTCCATTTCATCTCTGGAGACGCGTTCTGTCTTTGCGCTTGCAAATTCCGCCGTGTAAATAGCAAATTCGCCATGGCACCAGCGCAACTGGCTCTTAAAAGGAATGGGAGATGAGACTCTGATTGGTTTATTGCACGTTATGGCCAAAACACACCCATAGACCATGCGCCGGGCGCTCCGACCATTTTTCCAGTCTTTAAACTAGCAAAAGTGGATTTGGACACGCCCTAAAGTGCACCTGCACTGTGCGCTTTAGACCATGCGCTTAGATCGTTAAAATAGGGCCCAAAATGTAGACACGATGTAAATAAGAGATTCGTTGTGCCGCTTAGAGAACTTTATTGATAATAACGTATCTTTGTGAGATCACGATAAATTAAGATGAGTGACAGCTTTGTAGTGATTATGAACGGAGCGCTCTTTGTGCCATAGCAACAGACGCCGCTAATATATATATATATATATATATAGCACCTGGAGGGAGCCGGGCCTGCTTTCAGCACTGAAGTTCAGTGCTTTCAAACATACTGGGTTAATTATATTCTACAGCCTGACATCTATTGATGAATTGCTATGAATAAATAATAGGACATGCATAATGAGATATGTGCTTAGATGAGTTTAGAATCAGTCCTGTTTGAATGTCCTGCACCTGACAGTTCTCCGCTCTCTGGTTCTTCATCAGATCACGGTTATCTTGAAGAACTGGCGTGAGTGTGCAGAGCTGCAGATGTATCAAGCGGAGCTAGATAACGTTCCCCCGGCGTTTGTGGATGGTTCTGTGACCGGCGGAGATCGCAGAGGCCATCAGAGCCTGCGCATTCACTCTCACGATCCTGGCCGACACGCTGAGGTCTGGGCTACGCACATTGGGACGACGATAGTGGTGCGTCAGGTCGGCAGGTCGCTGAGTCTGTCTGTCCGCTCCCCTCGTGCGATCGTGGAGTCCTATACGCCTGAGCAGGACTTGCAGTTGTGCGTATGGGGGTGTCCGCTCTCACAGCGTCTGGAGACACCGTATGCGCATCCGTCCATGCCTGCGTACGCTCACTGCTCCTCACTGCTTCCGGTGCGGGATGTGTATTTCCAGGCTTGCTTGTTTGATCTACAGGTCACTGGAGATTTGAACTCCAGTGCATCAGCTGTGGTTGCGCTAGAGGATGCTCGCGTGATGATCTCGGACCCTGATAGGGTTCACCTGCTGACGGACAGGGCAGGTAACAACCCTCCATCATTGCCGGTGGTGCTGGCCTTAAGCGTCCTTGTAGAGACCCTCAGACATGCTTTCTTTGGCCCAGTGTGACATCAAAAACACTGCACTAAAACATGCCTTATGTGACGTTTGAAGGATATTTATACTATTGTTCAATGTTTACATCTCAGTGGTTTGGAAGTTTGTGTTTTGTGAATAAAGGCCGTCTGGAACGGCCGTGGGAAAAAATCATTTTATTGTATTTGTTTCAGTTTTAAATGCACATAAAGTGTGTGAATTATCAATATTTGTGGATATTTTTATCTGGATAAACGTGAATAACCTTTAAAAAACAATAAGCAAATATGAGTGACTTGCTCATGCAACTCAGTGTATGTTTTCTTATAGGTGGATGAAATTTATGCAGAAGTGTATTTATAATAAAGAAAAAATGTTAAATATTTCCACAGCCCACATAGCATTAATTAATGAAGGTCATCAGAATTATTCTATTTAGTTTAGTTTTTGGTTCTATTTTCATTGTTTTAGTTTTGTTTTAGTCTTTTTTATTATTATATTTAGTTTTCATTTTAGTTTTAGTATTTTAGGACTGCCAGAATTAATGCATTACCTGATATCATTTAAATGTTTTATTTTATGTCTATGTTTAATGAAGGCGGGTTAATTTTAAAATGTTAAAAATGTAAAATTACATTTTTTAAATTTTTATTTTAGTTTGGAGTATGGAGAAAAAACAGATGATAATAAAACAGAAAAATAATAAATAAAAGAAAAACATAAAAAAATAGAATCAAGACTAAATTTAATTGAAAAGTAATAGAATTTTTTATATTTTATTTTATTTTCCGCTAATCACATTTATTTATTCAAAGCTAAAATAAAGAGTACTGAATTATTTTCCTATCAAACTAGTGCTTTTGATTTTAGAACTTTTTGTAAATTATGAATTTGGGAAATTTACCAAGAGAATCCGCTTTTTTCAGTGATTTTTCTCCCATAGATCTTCTTTGTCCAGACTCCAGAGATTACTATAGAAAGCCTGTGGAAGATCATGAAGATGGGTCTGTGGGATTCTCCATTATCATCTGTTGGTTTAAGTTACAGTAATGCATCATTTATGTTGGTAAATCATGGTTTGCAATGGGTGAGATGGAGGCTTCAGTTTCATCTGAGGATCACAGCTGATGGAGGTTTCACTCCTTGAATGATCAAAAATTGGTGACTATACTTCTAAGTTCTTCACACTTGAGTGACACTGGATGGTTTTCATTTGTATGAACTTGTATTTACATTATATTGGTCTGGGTTACGTGATTGAAAGCTGTCTTTTCCCTGCTATCTTACCTTAAAAAGATCATTCACTGTACTTTTTATGCTCATTTGTTTTATGTTCATATAATGTATAGGACAGATAATACTATGTACAATATAGACAGCCATCCAAAACAGAGGGAGTCAAGCATTACGCATGTCCCACCTTCCTTAAACAGCATTGTAACTGGAGATGGAGGGTTCAAGACAGACCGCATAATGAATAAGGTAAGCAGCTGTTTGTTTATATACATGTACTCTTATCACCATGAAGATGGATGGTTGGATTATATAAACAGACTCTTCCTAAACTTTCTGTAGGGACCCATGCAGTCAAGTGTGTTGGATCAGTCATCAGATGGCAGTGCTCATCCAATCAGAACAGTCCATATGAACTGAGTCTCCATCACACATGCACGTTTCTGAGCATGTGGACTGTTCATGGTTGCATTTGTTTGGCTATCTCTGATGACCGCTGTATTTCACTGTACATGTCCATTCAGTCTGATATCTCTAGCATATTTAGTTTTCACAAAGTACCAAAAATACAATACAATACAAAATGAATTGAACACGTACCAGGACAATATCATAGATTTTAATATGTACCAGGATAATACCATGTTTTTTGGACATGCACCAGGGCAATATTATGGCATTTTGACATGTACCAGGGTAATGCTATGTTTACTGAACATGCACCTGGGCAATAGCATGGTATTTTGACATGTACCAGAATAATACCATGGTATTTTGGACATGTACCAAGGTAATATTATGATTTTTGGCCATGTACCAGAGTAAAACTGTGGTATTTTTGACATGTACCAAGGTAATATTGTGATTTTTGGCCATGTGCCAGAGTGACACCATGGTACTTTGGACGTACCAAGGTAATATTGTAATTTTTGGCCATGTATCAGGATTGTACCATGATATTTTGACAATATACAAGGGTAATACCATGTTTTTGCACTAGTACCAGGGTAATACCATGGTATTTTAACATGTACCAGGTAATACCATCGTTTTTGGACATGCACCAGGGCAATACTATGGTATTTTGGACATATACCATGGTAATATTGTGGTTTTTGGCCATGTACCAGGGTAACACCATGACATTTTGACATGCACCAGGGTAATAACATGTTTTGGACATGGACCTTGGCAATTCCATGGTATTTTGACATGTACCAGGGTAACACCATGATATTTTGGACATGTACTATGGCAATACAATGGTATTTTGGACATGTACCAAGGTAATACCGTAGTATTATCTTAAGTATATATGGGGTGCCATTTAAATACTATGGCAAATGCATCTGGTCATCATTTGGTACTATATGGTATACCCTTAAATAAACATAATGTGGCAGTACCGTCATAATCTGACAGTATCATATGATAATACTGCGCAATGCATTTACATGGTACTCTGACTATACCACATTTTTTGGTGCCATGATTCAGTTTAGGTACAAATAAATTCTTAATGCAGAAAGAAATCGCCTCTATTATGAACGTGTCACACGTGCGTGTCCGACTCTAACATGTTGTTTAGGAGCAGGGCACAGGAGTATCCAGTATCCAATGCTCCACATTATTACTCCACCTCCTGCCCCTTACCCACGAGCTGTCCACGCGCTCTGGACGGGCTCTCATTGGCCTGGGTGGACGCAAACAGCCTGTGTGTCCTATGAGAGAGACGCGCGTGGGGAGATCCACGAGGCGCATGTGGGTGTCCAGCACTGATGCCCATGTGTGTCCAGCTCGCATCATCAGCACAGCGGCCGTGTGAACTATAAAACCGCTCACTCCCACTCAGCGTTTACTGACAGATCACCAACAAACGACCAACGCATCTAATAGTAATCAAATAGTTAATAACACCAGCCATACTGGTGAGCTTATTGCGCAACTGATTCATTCAGTTACATTAGAAAGAATTACAATTAGGCCTATAATAAAACGTTTAGTGACATTATTGGAATTAATATTCGCACAATTAATAAAACAGCAAAATGGGTGTACTAACAAAGAAACCCAAGACCTTCGAGGTTCAGTTTAGTGACCCGAACAAGAGCGCGTATAGCGGCGGAGATAAAGTGGCCGGGCGGGTGATCGTGGAGGTGGCAGAGGTGGTGCAGATCTCCGCAGTTAAACTGTTCGGAATCGGATGCGCTAAAGTCGATTATAATAAAGGAAAGATGCACTGCAGGGATGAGATTGAGTACCTGAAATATGAAGAAGTTCTTCACCTCGATCATCAGCCAACAGGTGAGACACAACCTTTGGTTAACTCGGTGTGCGAATTCAATCAGTCTTTTCCGGGGGGCATTTTAAGTTGTTTTTGCAAAGCTAACTAACCGTCAACAATCTTAAAGATATGTTGAACAAAAATAAATAACTTGATATATTGAAATATATTTACCAAATCTATAATAAAGTGATAAATAATGACTGTAATACGTTTTTTCGATGTTACCGTCCAGCGTAAAGCGTTCAGGTACGTTCTGTTTCTATAGTAACCGCCTCTAAAGCTACTTCGCTAGCGCACTCTGACTAGCCTATAATCTTACTTTAGTTGTAACTAAAAAGTTTTAAATCGTAAATGTTCTTATTTAAAACACAATTAATAATTTAAAGAACTCTAATCTTTTGTTCTGACTACCTTTGGGGTGGTTCAAGCGTTAATTAAGGTGTTCAAACCCCCCTAATATGTGCTGCTACGTAGCCTACTACTGCAGTTTGAATGAGAATGGACTTGGACAGATGTTTTTCTCCCCTATAATTTAACTCAGATTTTGGTGTCTAACTGGTGTCTAAATGGTGTCTTTAGTCTGTTGTATTTAGTATTGTGCATAGTACGAAAATCAAAAGGTGGTAAATTAATATATGGGGGGTTGTAAGTTTAACATGTAAGTTTAACAATTGTTTATTGAAAAATCTTTCCGAAACTGAAAATTCGAAAGACATGAACATAAGTAAATAATGACAACTGAATGCTTCTCAAAGCGCAATCTCTCCTTCGCAGATGCAGATGGCTCCATCACTCTCAGGCCTGGAAACAGATATGAGTTCATGTTCGGGTTCGAACTTCCACAGGCAGGGTGGGTTTTCTTTTCAAAATTCCCCATTACAAATGTTGCATTCAAATTATCCACAATTTTAATGTAAGATCTACCCCTCTTGACCAGGTGCCTGGTTTCCTCCTATGTGGGAAAGTTTGGGTCAGTCCAATACTACGTGAAGGCAGTCATAGAGAGATCAAGCCAGCCATATGTGGAATGCAAGCGGTATTTTGAGGTGGTGGAACCCATTGATGTCAACACCCAAGAGCTCATGGTGATTAAGCCCAGACAAGTTACACATTTCTTTGAAATGGACATGATTCAAATGTAAGAAACTAATGCAGCCCCTTCTGCTTACTCTCAGGATCCAGTTACAGGAGCAAAACAGAAGAAAGTCACCTGCATGTTTATTCCCGATGGCAGTGTTTCCGTGTCCGCTCGCATAGGCCGGAAGGGTTATTGCGAAGGAGAAGACATTTGCATTGATGCCAAGTTTGAGAACTCTTGTTCTCGGATTGTCGTTCCTAAAGCTGCCATCATAGCCAAGCACATTTACCGGGCGAACGGCCGCACCAAAGAGTTTCACAAGAAACTCACTTCTGTCAGGGGAGTCCACATCATCTCCGGCATGTGTGACGTGTGGCAGGGGAGAGTACTTCCTGTGCCAAAGCTGAAGCCAACCATCCTGGGCTGTGACATTATCCACATTGACTATTGTCTAAGGGTGAGTTAAATTCTTGATAATCAATGCAGATGCTTCAGACTCCATCGGCACCT